CTGGGGGGGGGTGTAGTGGTTGGGGGGGGGGGTGTAGTGGCTGGGGGGGGGGGTTGTAGTGGCTGGGGGGGGGTTGTAGTGGCTGGGGGGGGGGTGTAGTGGCTGGGGGGGGGTGTAGTGGCGGAGGGGGGGGAATTGGCGGGGGTGTAGTGGGGGGGGTAGTGGGGGGGGTGTAGTGGGGGGTGTAGTGTGGGGGGTGTAGTGGGGGGGTAGTGGAGGGGTGTAGTGGCGGGGGGGGTGTAGTGGGGGGGGGTGTAGTGGGGGGGTGTAGTGGGGGGGTGTAGTGGGGGGGTGTAGTGGGGGATGTAGTGGGAGGGTGTAGTGGGGGGGGGTGTAGTGGGAGGGGGGTGTAGTGGGGGTGGTGTAGTGGGGGGGTGTAGTAAGGGGGGGGTAGTGGCGGGGGGGGTGTAGCGGGGGTGTAGCGGGGGTGTAGTGAGAGGGGGATGTAGTGGGGGGGTGCAGTGGGGTGGTGGGGGTGGTGTAGTGGAGGGAGATATTGGGGGGGTGTAGTGGGGGGTGGGGTAGTGGGAGTGGTGTAGTGGGGGGGGGGGTGTAGTGGGGGGTGAGGTAGGGGGTGGGTGTAGTGGGGGGTGGGGTAGTGGGGGGGGAGTTCCTTGCTTAGTCGCTCGCTCGTCCGCGCTGTAGATTTCACTTCCCCCCCCAGGCACCGCTTCGCCCAGACGCCTCTGCCGCTGTAGTCGCTCAGCTCGCTGAGGTTGGTGGAGGGTGGTGGGGGGTGGTGGTGTGTGGTGGGGGGTGGTGGTGGTTGGGGGGTGGTGTAAGGTGGTGGGGGTGGTGGGTGGGGGGTGGTGGGTGGGGGGTGGTGGGTGATTTATTTCTTTGACTTGAGGTTTTTTTTATTTTCTCGATTTGGGGGGGTGTGAGGTCTGCGGGTTGTTGGATAAATTAAAAGGCAAGAAAGAGAGGAGCTGGCACGTGCGCGCGTCCATCGCTCTCTTCCCCATCCTCTCTTCCCCATCCTCTCTTCCCCATCCTCCTCCTCCTCGTCGTCGTCGTCGTGCCTGGAAGTTGCGGGAAGCGATTGTCGCATGCAACTGGGAGGCGGTCAAGGTGACGCGACTTTTCGTTTTGGTTTCGGCAGCGGTGGTGGTTGTTGTTGTTAGTGGTCGTTTGTTGTTGTTAGTGGTGGTTGTTGTTGTTAGTAGTGGCGGTGGTTGTTGTTGGTAGTGGTGATGGTTGTTGTTGGTAGTGGTGATGGCTGTTGTTGTTGTTGGTAGTGGTGATGGTTGTTGTTGTTGGTAGTGGCGGTGGTTGTTGTTGGTAGTGGTGATGGTTGTTGTTGGTAGTGGTGATGGCTGTTGTTGTTGTTGGTAGTGGTGATGGTTGTTGTTGTTGGTAGTGGCGGTGGTTGTTGTTGGTAGTGGTGATGGTTGTTGTTGGTAGTGGTGATGGTTGTTGTTGTTGGTAGTGGCGGTGGTTGTTGTTGGTAGTGGTGATGGTTGTTGTTGTTAGTGGTGGTTGTTGTTGATAGTGGTGGTGGTTGTTGTTGGTAGTGGTGATGGTTGTTGTTGTTGGTAGTGGCGGTGGTTGTTGTTGGTAGTGGTGATGGTTGTTGTTGGTAGTGGTGGTGGTTGTTGTTGGTAGTGGTGGTGGTTGTTGTTGGTAGTGGTGATGGTTGTTGTTGTTGATAGCTTTAAATCAAAATTTAGTGGTGGTGGTTGTTGTTGGTAGTGGCGGTGGTTGTTGTTGGTAGTGTTGGTGGGTTGTTGTTGGTAGTGGTTGTTGTTGTTAGTGGCGGTGGTCGTGTTATTGATCATTGTTCGTTGGTGTCTGGTAGGGGGAGCGGTGGCGCAACTGGTTAGCGCACTGCGCACTCCAAACCCGGGCCCACCCGAGTTCGATTCCAGTTCAGGACCAATAACAGTGGCGACTATTTGGTTAAACAGGTCGAGTCGGCCTCAAATCAAGTGCCTGGGTTGCGATGTGTCAACATCACCAGAGACAAAGGCGGCCGGGCGTGTCGCTGGCCATCCGCCACCTCGTGTGCTGTTGTGGCCTTAATAGGCGCTCGCTAACAGCACTGGCCCCAACAGTCTGTTAAAGGCTAAACGGAGGATCTTTGGTAAAGTTCGTGGTGGTAGTGTGTGGTGTTGGTAGCGGTACGGCTGCTGTTGTTGTGTATTGTTGTTGGTCATGATGCTTGTTGTATCGGTGATGGTGTGGTGGTGGTTGTTGTTGTTGGTTGTGTCGCCGTTGACGAGTTGTGCTGCTGATGTGTATTGTTGTTGGTCATGATGCTTGTTGTATCGGTGATGGTGTGGTGGTTGTTGTTGTTGACGAGTTGTGCTGCTGCTGCTGTTGTTGTGGCGATGTCGCGAATTTGTGGCCGTGTCGGTACTCTGTACAACGCCTCTCGCCGCCGGTGTGGGGTCGTCGTCAGCCTTAATAGGCGCTCGCTAACACCACAAAACCTGCGCCCTGCAGGTCCGCATGAACCATGTCCGTGTGTGTGTACTGCATGTGTGCAGTATACAGTATATAGACTGTACTGCAGGTGTGCAGTATACAGTATATAGACTGTACTGCAGGTGTGTAGTATACAGTATGTAGACTGTACTGCAGCTGTGCAGTATACAGTATATAGACTGTACTGCAGCTGTGCAGTATACAGTATATAGACTGTACTGCAGCTGTGCAGTATACAGTATATAGACTGTACTGCAGCTGTGCAGTATACAGTATATAGACTGTACTGCAGCTGTGCAGTATACAGTATATAGACTGTACTGCAGCTGTGCAGTATACAGTATATAGACTGTACTGCAGCTGTGCAGTATACAGTATATAGACTGTACTGCAGATGTGCAGTATACAGTATATAGACTGTACTGCAGATGTGCAGTATACAGTATATACTGTATCTACTGTGCTGCAGAACTGCTGTGCAGTACAGTGCACAGTTTATATACTGTACTGCAGATGTGCAGTACAGTATACAGTATATATAGAGCGTCCCGTACGGTTCGCACTGCGCTACGAACCCGGCGACCCGAGTTCTACTGCCGCTCACAGCCAACACGAGTGACGTGGCCCCCGCACCCCTAGGTCGACTCCGCCTCAAATGAGTTACCTGGTGCGGTTGTTTATACATCGGCACTGGGGAAACAAAGGCGGCCGGGCGCGGTCCTTTCCCCATCGGCGCTTGGCTGTGTCTCTGTGGGCTCTACGCTAACAGCACTTGCCCCAATAGTCTGTTAAGACTTTACGGGGGACCTTTGCCTTCGCCTGCAACATCGTCGTCATCCTATTGTGATGACACCGGACTCGCGTTGTACAATCGTATCCGAGAAGGCGAATTCACTCAATATTCACACACACACAAGGCTGTGGACTGGCCAATGTAATTGTTATCACGGCCCGATTTGCAAAGGCCCAACACGCTAAGCGGCCAGACACCACAAACAACACTAAGTTGTAAGAGGTAAGCGTTAACACACTGTGTGTGATTTGTATTTATTTATTGAGCGAGGTTATAAGATCGATGATGACAATAATGGGAGAGGAGATTCCAAAGTGGAGCGGTGCGAGCGATGAAGCAGGGAGAGAAGTGAGGTGGCTTCCGCTGTGGTGAGTGGTTGACCGAGTGGTCCACTGAGTGAGTGGGTGACTGAGTGAGTGGTCCACTAAGTGAGTGGGTGACTGAGTGGTCCACTGAGTGGTCGACTGAATGAGTGGTCGACTGAGTGAGTGGTCCACTGAGTGAGTGGTCGACTGAGTGCGTGGTCGACTGAGTGAGTGGTCCACTGAGTGAGTGGTCGACTGAGTGCGTGGTCGACTGAGTGAGTGGTCCACTGAGTGAGTGGGTGACTGAGTGGTCCACTGAGTGGTCGACTGAATGAGTGGTCGACTGAGTGAGTGGGTGATTGAGTGGCGAACTGAGTGAGTGGTCGACTGAGTGAGTGGTCGACTGAGTGAGTGGGTGATTGAGTGAGTGGGTGATTGAGTGGCTGAGTGAGTGGTCCACTAAGTGAGTGGGTGACTGAGTGGTCCACTGAGTGAGTGGTCGACTGAGTGAGTGGTCCACTGAGTGAGTGGTCGACTGAGTGAGTGGTCGACTGAGTGAGTGGTCGACTGAGTGAGTGGTTGATTGAGTGGTCCCACTGAGTGAGTGGTTGTCTGAGAGTGGGTGGTCGACTGAGTGAGTGGTTGATTGAGTGACTAACTGAGTGGGTGACTGAGTGGTCCACTGAGTGAGTGGTTGTCTGAGAGAGAGTGAGTGGTCGACTGAGTGAATGGTTGTCTGAGTGGTTGTCTCAATGAGTGAACTGGTGAGGAGTGAGTGAGCGTGTTGTTGTGACTTGCAGTGCCGGGGGTGGCTGTTCGTGGTTGTGCGCAGTGTGAATGAGACGAAGGCGGCCCCTGTCTGGCGAGGCAGGTGAGCGCAGGCCCTGCTTACAGACCTCACTTGATAATTAATCAAAGCGCAACAAACCAAAGGGGCCTTGAGATGTTTAAAGCTGTCAACCAGTGCCTATCGCCTGCTCTGACATGCAGATCAGAAACATGGTCGCTGATAAAGGGGATGGAATGTAGTAGGCGTGTGAGTTGGCATAGGTCGCTTGCCCTGAGCGTGCGCATGTGCAGCCGTAGAAATGGCTTCAATTCGCGTAGCTTGTGGTGGTGGGGGGGTGGTGATGGGTGGTGGAGAGTGATGGTGGTAGTGGGTGGGTGGGAGGGTGGAGGGTGGTGGTGGCGTTAGTGGAGGGTGGTGGTGGGAGGGTGGTGGAGGTAGGTGGTGGTGGAGGTAGGTGGTGGTGGGTGGGAGGGTGTTTGTGGTGGAGGGTGGTGGTGGTGGGGTTAGTGGAGGGTGGTGGGTGGTGGTGGAAGGGTGGTGGAGGGTGGTGGGTGGGTGGAGAGTGGTGGTGGCGATAGTGGAGGGTGGTGGGTGGAGAGTGGTGGTGGCGGCGATAGTGGAGGGTGGTGGTGGTGATGTTAGTGGAGGGTGGTGGTGGGAAGGGTGGAGAGTGGTGTTGGCGATAGTGAAGGGTGGTGGTGGTGTCGGAGAGTGGTGGTGCTGCTGTTGGTGCAAGGTGGCGTGCGGCGGCCCGACGCCAACTCTTTCTTCTTGATGATAACCTGCGTGCCAGGGCCTGCCCCCTCGCATTTCGCGCTCGTACGGTGAGCACCGCACGCCTCGCACTGCTGCCAAGCGCCGCAATCTCTTGCACACCGCAGGGCTTGCGTTGGGGTGCGCGCGAGTGTACGGGGGTGGATGATGATGGGGTGGGGGGAGGTGGAAGCTTCACAGTTGTTGAGTGAGTGTGGGAGCGAGAGATGTTGGTGGTGAACGGGTGAAATGAATGGGTAAGTGAATAGGCGAGTGTGTGAGTAGGTGTGTGGATGGGTGCGCTACGAACCCGGCGTCCCGAGTTCGATTCCCGATCACGGCCAACACCGGTGACGATTACCTTAACTGATCTTCGGCCTCCTCTAGGTTGACTCAGCCTCAAATGCATAGGGAGATAAAGGCGGTCGGGCGTGGCGCCTGCCAACCCACTCCCTCGTGTACCGTTCCGGCCTTCATAGGTGCTCACTAACAGCACTTGCATCAATCGTCTGTTAAGGGGGATCTTTGTTTTTGTGAGTGCAAGTGGTTGAGGTGTCGGGTGAGCGAGTCAACGAGTGAGTGAGAGTGAATAAGAGAGTGGGGTGTACACACGGACACAACTATAACAATCAGGCGGGGGGTCTGTCGGTCTGAACGGGTCGCCTCCTAACTCGGGCAGCGACTCTGATTTTGACTTTCCTGGGTGACCCTGGGCGATTAAAGGGGGGGGGGGGGTCATCGTGCTCGGTGTGGTTATGTAAGGAGGTGGAACCAGAGACCAACGGAGAGGGGGGGCCTCATGGGGACATTGGGGGCAGGCTGGGTGCGGGAGGTGGAGCGTGGGGGGGGGGGTCGATATAAAGTATAAAGGCGCAACCCTGCAATTACCTACTCACGCAACTGCCGGCGGAAGGGCCCTCCTGTGCTCGAGGGAGCTCTGGAGAGGGGCTCTAGAGCCGTGCTTTGCAGACAGTGTGTCGTTGGGCGTGTATTTGCTGCGTTTTATCAGCCCGGCGCTCTGGTCATGGTTGTGAGCATTGCTCCTCCCGACCCCTCTGTTGCTGTTGGAGGATGACTGCTTCCCAACTTTCCTCGGTGGCTTTCTTCACGAATGCCGAAGTTGACGCCACTGGACAAACACACTTGACAAAGAACTGTTTCGAGCAGCACCTATTATGGCCGCACATAGGCAATGATCCCCCGTATAGCCTTAGCACAAACATTTTTGGGGCAAGTGCTGTTTGCAAGCACCTAATGAAGGCCGGAATGGAACACGAGGGGGTGGGTGGCCAACTCCACGCCCGGCCGCCTTTGTCTCCCCGGTGGCGATGTTTTTACACCGCACCAGCTACTCAATTGAGGCTGAGTCGACTTAAGGGAGGCCCAGGACCGGTTTGGATAATCGTCACTGGCGGGAATCGAACCAGGGTCGCTAGGTTCGTAGTGCAGCGCGCTAACCACTACACTACCGCTCCCCACACACACACATAGACACGTGGGGTGTGCATACCTGTCAACCCCTTATCAGTGCCTACCTTATTACAGACCAAGTCAGACCTTATTGGTCACCCCGTGCCCTTATAACTCTCAACGTTCATCCTACACAGTCCCATCACAAGGGAGAAACACAAACAAAAAGACAAATATTTATTTTTTGCCCGTATCGAAACGGTTGTACGGACCTGAAAACTCAATGTCCCTGCACAAGAATACGGCTAAACCATATGGGTTGACAGGGGTGGGTGTGCGCGACTAAACCAAGAGGCCCGGAGTTGGCATGCGGGATGGGTGGAATTTGTTTCCAGCATTCTCCGGGGAGCCGTGGCTGCGTGACGAGCGCTAGGAATTGGTGGTGGTGGAGGCCTTGTGGGCTTGACCTCGAGGCCCACTAAACTATTTTTTTTATCTCACCAGGTTCGTTAAAAGCAACATAGAGCTCTTTTTCAGAAGCAACCTGGCCACCACAAATAAAAGCTCAACGAAGTGGCTTGTCATCATCACCATCATCATCATCGTGGACATTTATAAGCAGCCAAATACTCTGAACGCGTGACGTTTATGCTAAATGTGGAGGGGAAAACCGGAGGACCCAGGAGACAAGTCCAGAGAACATGCGTACTCCATATATACAGGCGTCAGGGTCGGGATCGAACCCACGACTTCCTGTATACCAGGCGAGGTAGTTAACACCTCCCCACCGAGTTGCTTCTGAGATGGCGGTGGGGGTCGGGTTTAGGCAGGCGAAGGGTTTGGAGGGGGGCTCCCCCACTCTGTCCAACCCCCCCCCGCCCACCCCTTCCTCTCACTCTCCCCCCCCCCCGTTACGTTGTTTCGCAACTACGTCGTCGCTTTATTAACACCGCTACCCGATTTGCATCGCCTCAACCCCCACACACTCGCGTCGCCGACGGCATTGCCCGTCCTTTGACGTTATCTGTCGCCTCTCAGCCTTCGATCCACCACCGTAACCCTGTAAATCGGTCTTTGACGTCGTTTCGATATTTGTCGTCGCACCTGTCGGGAACGCACCCCTGATGTAAACTGGGGTATTACTCCACCGGTGCAGTACCGTCGAGCGATGGGTAGTCCTAGGCTGCCCCCGTTATCTTGCCGAGCACATAGCGCTCGTGGCATTCAGCTGAACAAACACCCCCAGATATAGGACGGCCGAGCTCGGGCAATCGTCGCCACCGTTTTCGGGGTTGCCCTTGCATCCTCGTTACATAATCTGCAGCAGTGCTTTGGAGGTCCAATTTGCACGAATGCCACCTTTGCATACAATATTATTTTTAAAATGTTCAGCCATAATTGTTCGATTCAAAGCTTTCGGGACTGCAGGGATTCATCTTCTTGGTTCTTTCGGTAATGTCACGTAGAAGGGAAGTAATACAATAATTAAAATGAAACAAATAAAATTCTCACGACGTGAGAATGTTAAGGTGAGAAATTAGCGTGTAACTGGGAGATTAGCATGATGTTAATGTGAGGAATTAGCGTGTAACTTGTCACGGAAGTGGCTATGTTAAAGTCAGAGATTACATATCAACAGAGGCATTTATTATATTAACGCTAAAGACTGCAACTACCCAACTATCATACAATAAACCGATGTGAAAGAACTAAATATATAAACTACATCAATATAATCAATGTACTCAATATACTCTCCAATAAGCAGAGCTATTAACATAAAGTTACTGGGTATACACTACACTAATGAATACCATATATATTATTGGTTTTTTCGGTAAAGTCACGTAGAAGGGAAACATTATTTTATTATTTTTTAAAATATTATTTTTATTGTTTCCCTTCTACGTGACTTTACCGAAAGAACCAAGAATATGAATCCCTGCAGTCACGAAAGCTTTAAATCAAAATTGAATACCACATAGTTAACTGATGAAAAACTACAATATAAACTACACCAATATTCTCAATAAACTCAATGTACTCTCCCATCAGCTGAGCTACTAACAATACGTCATTATACATTACAATTCTACGTCGACAAAAGTAGCGGTTTCTTTTTTCTCAACGTTAGCACCACGGAAAGCAGCGAGCGTTGTACAGACGGACGAGTCCTGCTAATCTCATCCTGCTAATCTCTTAGTACCTTTCAGTGTAATGTTTAATATAATTTATTTGGTAATGTATAGTTTTGTAATTGTATAGTGAATATACAGTAGTGTGGTATACAGTAGGGTTGGTAAAATAAAATAATACATAGTGTAATATTACAAGTCTAATATTATTATAATCTAAAGTATAGGGTAGTGTATAGTAATGCAGTGTATAATTCAATGTTGGGGTCTGTCTATGGCAGTTTATAATAAAAAAGATTAGTTGGAGGCATATTATGATAATTTTTGCGAAATAGAAGTGTAATGTATATTGACTTATTGTTTGTAGCTCAGCTTAGTGGAGAATATATTGAGTACATTGATTATATTGATGTAGTTTATATTTAGTTCTTTCACATCGGTTTATTGTATGATAGTTGGGTAGTTGCAGTTATTTAGCGTCAATATACTAAATGGCTCTGTTGATATGTAAACTCTAACTTTAACATAGCTACTTCCGTGACCAGTTACATGCTAAATCCTCACACTAACATCATGCTAATCTCCCAGTTACATGCTAATTTCTGACTTTAACATCCTGCTAATCTCTCACATTAACACAGCTACTTCAATGCTAAATTCTTCTGTTGATATGTAAACTCCTTTGTCAAGGCGCTCTGCTCCACCCACCCAGCTTATAAGACGCTGCCAAGCTTAGCAGTGTTCATTGGAGCGCTGTCTTTCCGACAGTTCTGTTTCTTCACCTGAGGAAGGCTACTTGTGTTGTGGCCGAAACGTCGTGAGAATTTTATTTTATTATGCTTTATTTTCATTATTCTATTATTTCCCTTCTACGTGACTTTACCGAAAGAACCAAGAAGATGTTAAGCCATATTGTAACCTGTTTTTGCATAGAGAATTAAGTCACTTGGGCTTAATTTGTCACGGGATTTTCCCCGACTTGTTTTGGGAGACTAGAATATGAAGAACGTGACTCATTGCCACACCCATAGCGGGTGGGTGGAAGTATATTGGATGCAGTGTGCCGGATGCGAATAATAATACCGTCATTATGATTCCCAGCTACAAATGTGACATCTTTGGGAATGTGTAATATCTCGCAATGCCGGAAGTGGGGAGAACCACATGCAACTGCATTGTCTTGAGTGATGTCATCATTATTCGGACACACCGGGTTGGTATTAAGTCCCGGCGGTCACACATCCAAGCACTGCCCACCCTCGGCCCTGCTTAGCTTCTGAGATCTGACCCGGGGTGTATGGAATAACTCATTTCATCTGCGGAAATTGTGGGAGAACAACATCATGTGTCCCTTTTTTTTAATCTGGGGGAAAATATTGTGGATAATTGCAGACAGGAAGATTTTGCAAATGATCTCCCCTTTATCTGCAAAAAATTGCGGATAATAGGAAGCCATTCCACAGATCATCGTTGGTAATAAGAATAGGGGTGCGGATAATAGGGGTTTTCAGGTACCATACAGCTCC